CAGCAATCGCCCTTGCCCCTATTACCAAGAGTAGGAAAGACTGAAGCTTCTCTTGCAGAAGTACAGTTAAATCCAGGGAGTTATCTACAAGATACATTAATTGAATTCTATAGGTGACTGTGGATTAAAATGCCTTTTTATAACAGGCTGTTAACATACATCCTACCTGCTAAGTACACAAACCAGGGTTCTAGGAAAAATTCATACTGGTTGCACTTAAGCCCATTTTGATAAGGAACCACTTCTGCAGTTTCAGCACACAGACCTACAGAAGAGAAAAGCCTGCTCTACTGCCATTTCAGACCCCTGGAAACCTTCTGGACCATCCCTGAGGATTCAGTATCCATCATTAGTTCCCATTAGCATGGCAGTTTCTTTGCAGTAGGCTACATAGAGAACTCAGTTCTAGCAGCCAAAACTTAACCTAGATAGCTGCAGCTAAAGGAAATCCCTTCCTTTCTTGTAGCTCCTCTGTTTCCTCCCTCAGCACATTACTGAAGGCTTATCCCTTTTCAAAGTAAATACTCTGCACCAGTCCAATAAACTGTTAAAAGTAGGACTTCTGACTTTACAGCTGTGCACTCAATCTGGTAGCAGAAGCAAGGTTTAACTGCACATTTGGTTTTGAAGGTCTGGGATCCCATCCATGGTTGTGGTTCAGGAGACCCCTTGTGTATTATATACAGTTGCATCATATTATTCCCATATGCTACAGAACACAAAGCAAAAGTTTCTGGTGGCCTATTTACAATTCACAATTGTAAAGTAGTTCACATTACAGTAGTAGCTCCATCAAAATAGGCTCAGCTAAACATTCAAGTAAAAAAAACTGGTAGTAGTCTCTTCACACCAGTATATCCCTGTGCCCATTGCCGGCAATGGACGTTATGCCAGGCGAGTCAGCTCCCGTCATAGAGGAATTAGGATACACAGTTGATGCAAAGTGCAACTTTTCAGTGCATGCAGTTGCAAACAAAGCTTATTTAGTTCTCATCAGGGTGTTTTCTGATGAGTGGTGTGCACGTGACCAGGTTCTTCACAGTATAGATTCTTGTGCTGGTTACACACGTCAGTCCATCGACACGTGTTGCTCCAGGTTAGCTGTGAACTTCGGTGCTGTTGGGAGTCAGCTTAGCTTTCCTCTCCACACAGGGTCCTTTAGCAGAGTACTGCACCAGCAGGAAGGGCTCTTTGGTTTCTCCTTCGCCCACAATGCTTTCCTCATCCTCAGACTGGCTGAGTTTCTGCAGCCTGAGGTAGCACCAGCAGCCCAGGATCAGGGCCCCCAGCGCCGCGATGGCGATCAGGATCACGATCACAGTCACCACGCCCGTGGAGGGGCTGTGATCTGTGATAGACATGGCCAGGAGCTCAGACTCTGCACTTCTTTAGGGAGATCCTTCTGTCCTCACTGTCAGTCTTGCTGCATCTTCAAACTCCTGCAGTGGAAAAAATAACCAATGAAGTTGTGCAGTTTCACCACACTCAGCAACATTATATTAATGGCTGGTATCCTTCACATGGCACGTGACCCCCCTGCATTCACTGCTTTGTGCTGCTCACACTCACAGAATCACGGGATCTTGTTTCAGCTCTTGACGTGCCTGTCAAGATAGCACATGGTCAGCCTACTAAGAGGTAACAGTTTTTACTAGAAGATACGAGACAAGACATTGGTAAGGTATTTGTGAAGGGATCTGCAATGCTGATGCATTACTGTAAGTCTGTCCATAACACTGGTCTGCTTAGAAGGGCTGACTACATGGTAATTAATTGTTCATTGAGCTGATAAAAAACAACAGATGTTGCTTTATATACATTTTTCATAAGAAGCAGGTAGAGCTATATTTATTGAAGACTAACAAAACACAATGGGAAGATGATTATTTTAAGCTCATGTTCCTCTTAGGGGCTTTGAAACAAGAGCAAGGTGTTGTGTTAGGAATGCAGCTGAAATTGGAACAGAGGCAGCAGGCAGGAAAATGGGAGAGAAGAGCTACAAGACTTCCTTAGTCTGCTGTAGTTTTAGCAGGATAAAAATACATAGGTCATGTCATTTGCTACTTCCACTTCCAAATTTAAGGGGTCATGTGAGCCTTGTCTTCAGTGTCAGTTATTGTTTACAAAGCTGGTAGCTTCACTTCCTTCAACTAGGACATACAACAAAGTCAGTTACTCATTACCTTTTCTTTCCTGTACCCCAGCTCTTTAACAAAAGAGAAACTCAGGGAAGACTTTAGTAGAGACTGAAGCCAGTCCTCCCCAGGAGCATCTCTTACTTCTGTACTGCTGTAAAAATCAGGTTAGGGCTCAACACTGCAATATCAGGTACAACATGAGGTTCTAAGGTCAGATGCAAGTGCACATCTGCATTTCACCTGACCTGTAGCCACTGACTGGCAGTGGAGTAACAGCTTCCAGCTGCTCTAAGTTCCAGTCTGTTGAGGGTAACATTTTTCCAGGAAAAGCTCTCCCTCACTGTTGCTGTTGCAGTCTCTCACTCACTGCAGCATCTTCATCCAAACCCCTCAGGAAAAGCCAGTCTTACCCAACCTTGAGCCAGAACCATTAGTTTATGGTGTTACCCACTGCACTAGAAGCCTCACCAGTGTTTCAACATGAGTCAAGGCAATTACAGTGCAGTACCTTTACTAAGAGAGCTCAAGCTAGAGACTAAGTTTGTTCCCTGCTGTCTCATGGAATGAGAGACCCATGTGCATCACCATTTCAGCAAGGACACCTCCACTACAGACAAGTTTAGCATATGTCATTAGGGTCCAGTGTCACATACTCTGGTTACATTTCCAGCCCTGTAAACTACAGCAGTCAATAGCTTGCAGTGTATCTGACACAACCAACCAAGTTCTGCAGACCCGATTTTGCCCAAATAATAAAACCAAAACTGACCACACCACACCCCCTCAGCAGAGCTGTGCCCACTGCAGCCGGAGAGGTGTATGATTTGTCATAATCACCTTGCTTCTGCAATGCTTATTCAACACAGGGTGATCAGCTGAGGGTGATTAAGAGTGACTTTCATGTAGTTCATTTTCCTCGGGGCATGTCTGAACAGCAGCACTGTTTGATCAAGCCAAAACAGTACAGCATCAGCAGAAAAGAGAGTTTACTTTGCTGCCCATGCAGGCATGCACGGCCACATTAAGGTCTCTTCTGCAGCTTCCACCTTTGTTAGCAGCAAACCTACTGTTTCTCTACAGCAGTTTGGTGCAGCATATGTTATGTTGCACAGTTACTGTCACCTAGAAAATAGCTTTTAGAAGTGGAAACTAGCATTGCAAATGCTACCCCTCTGCCAGTCTTCAAGTGAATAGACAGCATCAGCTATATAAATGATGAAACTTTGCACATCACCATCCTCTGTATCACCAGGATCTTTAGGCAGTCTCGGTTCAGGATGCATGAGACTGATTTATACTTACTGACCAATTTTTAGTCCAAATTTGAGTGCAACACAGCAACTTACAGATTCCTCTTAAAGATCTTTCTTGGCCAAACCCATAGGTTTTTAACCTTTAAAGTTCCAACTGTTTTTTATTTGATTAAAAACCCAAAGAATTTCACTTCTCAATGAGATAAAGTGTAGACATCGTTCCTTCTCTGCAGGCATATCCTTCTTTTCCCACTCAAGGACTTTAGAGTCAGCACCCTTTATAAAGTCATGTATTAAGCATCTGTACGGATTTCCAATGGCACAAACAACTAGCTAATAGGGCATAATAGTAGCTCTGAATTGCTGGAAAGCTACAGTGTTGTTGATAGCTCACACTGCTCTTCCTGGCTTTAGGTCACTGAAGGTCTCCTCCAGCTTTAGTGCTATCCTTGGCACAGAATATTTGCATGTTGTAACTACACTGGTAAGAACTTCCAGAGAGTCCTTTGGTTTCTGTGTTGTTTTCTAGACACAGAACTCCAACCTTGCTACTCTTTCCACCAGCAACTGACTGAAATCCAGATTAAGCTGTCTCCATAGTCTGCTTCTTGATAGGAGAAACATTGCACTCTGCAGAATCCCCTTAAACTTATCCAGAGGAGATAAATAGTTTTCGGACTCACTTTCTCCTTAAAGCCTACCTGAGCTAAAACCCGTGAGCGTACCAAGAGTGGCACTGACTTCCCTTATCACTTTTACTGTGAGATATTATGAGCTGTAAATTCCTCATCTTCAAAGGGATTGCCAACACCAGCCATGTGTATTTGGTGGCACTTGTAGTGCTCTGTCCCTTCCCAGCACACTTGCTATCCAAACAAGCACCTAAGCATATTTACTCATTAGCCAGATTAGTCAGATTCACTGCCGTGAACTCCAAATAGCCTGTTTCAGTTCTTATACCAATCAAGCAGTGAAAACATCAGCTAGAAACCATTTTTCCATAAATAACTGCTTCTTTTCTCTTTTTGCTTAATAACCAGCTTCTACTCAGAAATTTCACTTGTGAAGTTTTATTATCCAATTCAGAAGCTGTAACTAAAGGACAAACAGGCACAGCTTAAATTGCAGAAGGCTGTTAGGGGACAAATGCAATGCAAGGCTGGCATTAGTTTCTAAACCAGGTTTTTCATTATTCCAGGCATTGTGCTGCTAAGTTCACTAATTGTAATGCCTGCAGGCATGTTTCTAACAAGAAATACTCCTACTGTTCAAGGCAAAGCTATATATAAAGGAAAAGGCTTCAGATCTGCTATAGTTCACCCAAATATACCAAAGTCCTCATCAAGCAGTTATGTTCAAGGTGCAAATATTAAGTCTTTGGGCTTTAATTTTTTTGGGGAGGAGAGGTGAGGAGGTGGGAGCTGTTTTATTACAGTATTCCACCTTAAGTAAGTTGAATGGGGCAGGGCAAAGGAAATGAGAATAAAACTACCAGAGTGACCTTCAGCTCAAAAAATTAAAAAAAAAAAAGGCTGCTTAGTTAAAAAGCCTCCATGTTAAGAGACAGAAAAACAACAGCTTGTAATCAACACACTTCTAATAGTGAACAATGGTTTCTCCTGTATGTGCCAGTAAGATTGCTTTTGAGGAATGCTGCATACTCATCACAATAGCATCCTTACTGCCAAGGGAAGACAAGGGGAGAACCCACTGGGGAAATCTGAGCTGTACTTCTACCACTGGCACACAAGTGTTTACAGCACCCACACTATCCAGCCACAGAGAGTGAGGCCTTTACAGTATAGGAGTGCTCAGACTTCACCACTTCCAAATAAAAAAAGTGGGATCACTGTTATTCTTCATTAACTCCAGCTTATACCACCTCTTTCTGATAATGCCAAGTTACCTTGCACAAGCTGGAGCTTGGCCAGAGGCTATTTTAGAAGCAGGGAGCTGTTTAGTAGGTGCCTTCAGTGCAAATCATCTTTTCCCAACCCTTATTATACTTCTGATGAGGAATAAAAAAAGCAGGGAAGGCAGCTAAAAAAGTCTTTTCTGTGGCTAATCAGTTGTAGACAGTATTCCAAGAACGTGGCATTCAAGAAACTGCTAGAAAAAAACAGATACCTAACAGTGTTGACTGAACAGCAGTTCCCACATGAAGTGTAGTAGTACCTTAGACTTAATCAAGACTCACTTTCAAAGCTTTACACCAGAAGTTAGCATTTTACAGAAGACAGTAAGATGGAGAGATGAGAGAGCAGCAGTCTAAGATGTTCCTCAGACACAATGACAGTTTCAAGAGCAGACAGACCTCAGTAGCACAGCAAGTGGAGTAGGTTTGTGCTGTAACTGCCTGTCAGGCAAGTCAGCCGGTTAATGTAGAACTAGAAACAGGCTTCTCGTGTTAAAACCACATTTGCTCCAGAGGCAATTGCATGGCTGGGAAAACATCTGTCAGACTGCAGATTTGTATCTGTCAGTGCCACATCCACACGGAGCTCTAATGGAAGGTCTGTCCTGACACGATAACAGAGTCACTTCCGACATTCCGTTACCAGCAGTACCGTGCCGTACACATCCCGTGGCGCAATTCTGATATATTAGAAAACTGCTGAGATACCAACTTTGTTTGCTGATAAAAAACCGCCGTTTTTCTATTTACATTCAAAGTAGTTCTCCAAATGTGTGAGGTTTTTTTTTCTATGGGCTCTATCTAACAGCAACTAGACAGCACCCATAGGTTTCTGACAGTCAGGCACTTGTTATACTCAGCTCAACTCTTCAGACAGCAAGTGCCCCAGAAGTTAATCACGTACCTGCAACAAGCAGCTCAGGAGCTCAGGGTAGGAGCTGTCTACACAGTTTCAGAATCACCTTATTAGAAAAGCAAAGGTCACACTGCTTTTGGATCTTGTCTGGCAAGTCTTCCTCCTCGCTCCTCCCCTGTGGAGAAGGATCACATTGGTCTCCAGCTGCTCCGCATCCCGAGTCCCTTTCACTCCTGGCTTTCCCATTACATAATCGCGTCTAACTATCAGCTTTTGCTACAGGCGGTCAGGGAAAGATCCCTTACTGCTTCACCTACCTGCTAATCAAGGCAAGAGTTTCACAAGTGGTTTAGAGTTCTTTAGGTCTATTCAAAAGCAGCATCTACCAACAGATGCAGATGTCTCTACACCTGCATTCGTGTCGGGAAAAGGAACAGCGCGAGCCGGCACGGTACACTGCAGATGCTCAGAGCGAGCAACGGGACTCAGTCTGAACAATTTGCGCTGCCATGAGCTCCAGGGTTATCCACCTAAGGGTCAGTCCAGACTGCAGCACATAGCCAGCTCCTCGCACGGAGCGAGCAGGGACGAGCCTCCCCGGCCGGGAGGAGCCCGGCGCCCACCGCGAGCTGCCGCTGCCGAGCCGTGAGGCATCGCCGTGTGACTGCAGCGCGGCCGCACAGCGCCGGGGCCGAGCCCGGGGCGCGGGGGCCAAGCCAAGCACGGGCGGCCGGGCCGGGGGAGCCCCGAGCCGCCCCCGGGGCCCACGCGGGGCCTGCGGGGCGCTCGGAGCGCGGCGGGGACCCGCCCGCGGACACAAAGAGCGGGCAGGGGCGGCCCAGGCCCCGCGGGGGGAACGCGGGCGGCCCCCGCCCGCCTCACCGACCCCCGCCCCGGCGGGTTCGCCAGAGCCCCGCACGGCGCCCAGCGCAGCCCAGTCCAGCCCAGTCCAGCCCAGCCAAGCCAAGCCAAGCCAAGCCTACCCCCGCACCGCCCCCTCCGCTCGCCCCGCAGTCACGGTCCCGCACGGCCCCCGCGCACCCACCGGCCTCGCCGCGGCAGCTCCTTCCTTCCCTGCCCGCGCCGCCGCCTTTTACCGGGGAACGGGCGGCGCCGAGCGCGGCCCGGGCAGCAACAGCTGACGGCGGGGCCCGCTCGGCCCGGCCCTCCCTCCGTGACAGCGCCCGGCCCCGCCCCGCCCGGCTTGGAGCCGTGGGATTGAGGAGTCACAGCATCGTGGGTCACAGATTCATGGAATCACAGACTCATGGAATCACAGGCTCCTGGAATCATAGACTCATGGAATCACAGGCTCCTGGAATCATAGACTCATGGAATCATTAAGGTTGGAAGAGGCGTTTAAGATCATCCAGTCCAACCGTCAACCCAGCACTGCCACTGTGACCCCTAAAGCACATCACCCAGTGCCAGATGCAGATGCCTCTTGAACACCTCCAGGAATGGTGACTCCACCGCCTCCCCGGGCAACCTGTTCCCGTGCCTGACCACCCAAAGAGTGAACATTTTTTTCTAATATCTAATCTGAATCTCCCCTGCCTCAGCTTGAGGCAATTTCTTCTATTCCTCGCAATGGGGGCACGGCAGAAGAAACCACCCCCCCCCTTACTGCAACCCTCCTGCAGATGGGCTCCTCCCTGAGCCTCCACTTCTGAAGACTAAACGAACTCAGCTCCCTCAGCACCTCTGTGAACCTGCAAGAGGACCCTTATTGGCTCTCCGGGCAGCAACAGGGCAGGACTGCCATTACCACAGAGGCCACCCCAGACCACCGTGGTGTTTGGTAACACTGCTGGCCACCAACTGACCCCAGCCAGTCTTCCTTCTGTGGGCTCTGAGCAGACAGCAGCACCAACCTTCCTGGCTCAGTGAGTGTGTCTGTCTCAAACATCCAGTAAGATCATTCCCAGTATGCCCATTATATTTAGTAATTCATGCTGTGTTGGGGCAGTAACTACAAAAATGCATTAGGAAATTGCCCAATACAGGGTTTTGTCACCCTTCCGCTGAAGTTGGTCCTTACTAGAGCAAAAAAGGAGTATTGCAACTTCTCTGATGTGGTATAGTTGCTCGTAAAACAGATCCCAACTTGTTTGAGGTTCACCTAAAGTCTTAAGAGGTTTCTGACAAAATGAGTTTTAAGGGAATGGACTGTGACAGAAGATCAAGTTCAGAGGTTGCCACGACTTATATAAAAACCTGGTTTACAATATAGTTGCTGGTTTATCTTGTTGTGGTTTCGCTCCCAGTCAGCAGCCAAGCCCTCCATCAGCAGGATGAGGCAGAGAATTCGATGAGTTTACTTTTTCACTCACTTTTAAGTAAGAAAACACATGGGTTGAGATAAAGACAGTTTAATAGGTAAATCAAATGCTGCATGTGCCAGCAAAGCAAAGCAAGGAATTCATTCACCACTTGCCATGGGCAGACAGGTGTTCAGCCATCCCAGGAAAGCAGGGCTCCATCACACCTAACAGTTACTTGGGAAGACAAATGCCATCACTCTGAACACGTTTTCTTCTTCTTCCCCAGCTTTATATGCTGAGCATGATGCCGTATGGTCTGGAATATCTCTTGGGAATATCCCAGCTGTGTCCCCTCCCTGTGCACCCCCAGCCTCCTCGCTGGTGGTGTGGGGTGAGGAGCAGAAAAGACCTTGTCTCTGTGTAAGCCCTGCTCAGCAGTAACAGAATCATCTCTGTATTATCAACCCTTCTTTCAGAGCAGATCCAAAAGGTAGCCCCACATTAGCTACTGTGAAAAAACCCTCCCTCTATTCTAGCCCAAACCAGCAGAATTACACAATTTTCTATGAAGTAAAAACAATTTTTCCTTCCATTAATGCAGTGCCCACCATAAGCATGTGACAAGGTGCACGGTCTCTTTCCATTCTCAGCCACTGAAAAGCTAAATATGACCCAGTACCAGATGGATGCCTCACCTCCTCTGCTTGCTCTCAAAGCCATCCAGACATGAACCATCTTTTACTTGGAAGCTGTACAGCCCCTTTCACACATGTTGGTGTGGCAGGAGACCTTCCTAGGGTGACAGGTAGCTCTGGACTGCTCCTGAATCCTATCCAGCCAGTTTGCAGCATTAACAGAGCAGCTGATTCATTGTAGACACTGCCCTAAGCACACCATTTTACAGTTTCATTTAAACAAAAATGCCCAGTGGCGTGGAATACCTGAGAGTTAAGAACATTTTAGAAAAGTCATTGTTTAATGTAAAATTAGTAGTTTATTTAAGCTTTGGAACTAAGTGTGGTGCAGCTTAATTTTCTACTGTCTTTATGCATCAACCACCACAGAAGAGATGATAAAATACTACTAAACATACCCTTAAAAGTTCAGAATCTTTTTTGAAAGTAGTAGAAGAGCAAGCACAGGCACTGGGTTATTTTCACTGTTGATAGCTAATGGTCTGGACTGTCTGGCAAACCAATATTGGCCATGGCAGCAACCTTCTGTCAAGTGAGCAGATGCAGAGGTAGCCTTTGGGCCAGGACTTTAATAAGACATCTAAGTCCCATTTAGATACTTGAACCTCTACTGAGATTCCTGTTTTACTTACATAACCATGGGTGGAGTCTTCCCTGCATGTAAGTGTCCCAATCCACTTCAGTGAGAAGAGTCATGGCCTTTTGTACAAAAACCATGAATGCAATTACGACAGAGCTGACTGGTAAAAGCCATCCAGTAATAGCACAGGCCTGAAGAGAAGACCAGCAATCTCTTTTGTCATAATTTGAAAAATTTTTGCCTTTGAGAGGCTTTTAATGGTGATTTTGTAGCCCATATTTAGTAAATGGTGCAGAGAACAAAGCAGGTTCATTCGCTTCAGTTTTTTATCTTTGTAAATGGGCTGCTTGCTCTGTGCAGGCTTGTATGGGGAATTTTCAGTCTGCTGTGGAGAAAGCAGAAGGCTGTTAATCCTTCAAAATTGCTTAAAAGCTTCTCTTGCTTTGCCCCCTTCATCCATCCCCAGTTAATACTGAACAGGGGCAAGGCTTTAGTGACCTCAGATCCTCACAGCTGGGGAGCAGAAAGAACCTGCTTCATGCTTTGCCAGGAGCTGGTGAAGAACACTGGCATGTTCAGCTAAAGCAGCTGAGTAATGTGCTCTTCAGCTGTGCTAGGGATGAAAACGTGAGAGTTTTCTCTCATTTATTGGCTGTTGCTCCTTAGCTGTGCACTAATAATGTAAAACTGTGAACATGCAACATGCTAGTACAGGGGATAGTTTTCTCTTCCTTGAAAAAGAATGGCAGGTTTATCAGTAAGATTCTTCCTCAATATTCATAACTTATATAAAGAGATTTGACAATTTTCTGGATTTATACTATCATTTGAAGCATACCCTCATGCTTTGATGTTTTCATCTCACAAGCACTCAACATTTTAAAACATTACATGTGCTTATGGAATTCACTGGGAATTATCTGCAGAAGAATTCTGGGGTCAGTTGTAGCCACTGTCACAATCATCTGGTTCTGCTGGAGCCACTCTGACCCCCAGCATAGTTTCCAGCAATGTTAATTTTAAGTGTTACTAATTATAGAGATTCTTTGGTTTCTCTTCAGGGACTAGACCACTGCCAGAGAAATTCATGATCAGATTAGGATTTGCCTGTAATTTGTTTTGTTAGAAAAAAATGTTTTCCATCGTTGCAAATTCACATCACACTCTCCTTGTCTGCTAATGTGGCTATTTTAAATGTACTTATTTTTGGAGTTTCCTTCTGTCAGTCACACCCTGTGTCCTCTAAGTATATTCTTGTAAATGTCCATTACCTTTAAATTTTTAACAGCTACTGTCAATATTTGTTCCTTTAATTAGGGCCATATGTTGTGTTAGTTCCTTAATGGTGGCTAGTAAAATAAAACATGTGCTTCCTCCATTCCCACTTGGAAAGACAATGAATATGTAACAGATGTTTATCACACATATAGTATCTGTTCAGTTTTCTGCTGTTTTGTAGCACTCCTTGGAGCAAACTGTGTTCAGTACTCATCTTTGCACTCTAGGGTGCTTTGGACATAGACAGACATTTGTAATTGTGCAAATGACTGGCAAAGTGCAAAAGCACTTTTAAGATTAGTGTGAGTTTAATGGTACTCCTTGCTTATCATGAGAAGCTAGCAGCTGAATTTCGATCTCAGACATCAACAAAGTGCTTAGCTATAAAATCACACCAACCTTATCTATTTAAAAGGAAATCCTCAGAAGATGGTTTTTATGTGACAGCATAATTGAATGATGAGTTCTCTGATTCTGATCAGTGCTGTAAGTGGTACTTCATGATGACAGACTGTGAATCCAGGCCAGGGAAAATGGATTGTTCAAAACTCATTTGAGCATAAGCTTAAATTTAGGCTTCTGAAGGCTGTAGCCTAACCTGGGACAAGAGGTGCTTCTGCTGGCATGCCTTGCCTTCTGTCCTGAAAGAGCAGCTTTTGTATGTAACTCTGCAGATGATAATTAGAAAGGTGAAAACAGTGCTATACATCATATTGACATAGAAAAGTATAATCTTTATTTATTATAGCTGAAGCTATCTCCTATTCACTTGTAGTGCTTCAAAAGAGGCAAATAGATACATTTAATGTCTTTTGCTGTGTTGAAACATTTTTGTCCCGTGCTTTGGAGACTGATTTTGTACCTGAAGGCTGATGAGCAATGTACAAAGCATTTCCTTTCTGCAGCAGTTATTTTTAAAGCTCTATGCCAGAGTTAACAAGCCTACTGGGAGCCTAATGTGTTAGCTGGGGAAACCCAAAGGAAATCTCTTTAGATTGCTAATTTGCATGTTTAAAACAATTTTTTTTTTTTACCTTTTCAGCACACAGAGTAGAAAAAGCTATTTGATCCATATGCTCCACGGTGTACTTGAGATACTTTCACATAGAATTACACATTCACACTGGAGTAGTGTTGTTTTGAGACTGAGTAGTCAAATGTTTGGTAACTTCTTGACAGTCTTATTAGACTTCATCACCATAGTTCTGCTTTTTACAGCAAATACTTCCTGAAACAGTGTAAGAGCAGTGACACAAACCATAGTGTACCCCAGGGCATTGCATTTATTGTGACAGGCAGAAAGGGACCTGGGGGTACTAATTGACAGGAAGCTCAACATGAGCCAACAGTGTGCCCAGGTGGCCAAGAAGGCCAATGGGATCTTGTCCTGTATCAAAAATAGCGTGGCCAGCAGGACCAGGGAAGTGATCCTTCCCCTGTACTCTGCGTTGGTGAGGCCACACCTGGAGTATTGTGTTCAGTTCTGGGCCCCTCAGTTCAGAAAGGATATTGAGGTTCTGGAGCGCC